TCAGGTGAGTCAGGAATGTAAAGCTCAGACTCCCGCCTGTAAATTAGAAATAAGCATAGCAATCTGCCAAAAACAGCCTGATACGGCGAGAGGGAAGACACCTTATAATGAGTTCTCAGAAGCTGCGAGCCGACCTACAGCAGAGCCTAATATTCCTCCTGTGGATTTGTTGACACTCCTCAAAGCAAGTTAAATCGAAAGGGCCGTGATTTATGCAAGACTGTCAGGTCAGATTGGCTCAGCCTCCACTCCGGTGTCATTAGAAAGTACAGCGTTTCAGTGACTCATGCCCACCACTGTGGTTTCAGCTTTGACAGAGCAGAGAGAAGGATAACGCAGCACAAGTGACACTTCCAATTGATGCTGGAACATCACATGGCCGTAACAGAGCACCGGGTTCTTCTGGGGAGGAAAAAGACTCCATCAGGATAGCCTAGAGGAAGCTGTTTCAAATTGGATAGAAGCCAGGGAGAGCAGCAGTGTGGAGTCCTAGATGTGTCTGCTGACTGTCAACATAGTAAAATGGAAATGAAGAGCCATATATGTGGTAGATTTCCACCAGGCCACGAATAATATCTAGTTACAATTAGGCGTTGATGTGACCATTAGAGGCAGTATACAGAAACTTTATTCCTCTCTGGGGACAGAAAATATTTTCCAGAAATGAAACCGTTTCAGTTGACGGTCTTTCCACGTACAGACTCGGCAAAACAACCAGCCATGTTAGTTTATTTCACTTTTAACAGTTGCTAAAATAACAACAAATAAGAATTCAATGTGATATAATTACTACCATGAAGGCCTTTAGCTACATGAATGATGTATAATCAAAAGGCAAATTAAATTAATTCAATGACGAAAGATTTAAAATGAAAGCCTTCAGTTACATTATTTTAAAATAATAAAAACAAGAAACAAAATGTCTGGTCAACCATGAAATAAAATGGAATAAAAAGATACAAAGAGCTGCAACAGCTGGTGCAGGTGCATTACTTCATGGCAGGGTGATCTTCATGATGAAGCCAAATCTGTGACTGAAGACAGGGTGGAATGGAACTTTCAACCTTGAACCATCTGCATGGAGAAGCAGGAATCTTACTGTACAACTGCATCAGTGTATGTTACAAAGAGAAAAAAACAAAACCTAAAAAAATACACAAACGTGATTGTAAAAGTTTTCATCCTAGATATAAATGTGTTGACATTTGGAGCTCTCTTCAGTTGTGGTCAGTTGTGGTGGTAGTTTGTTCCACTGTTTAATGCTGCTTCATCATGTTTGCTCTGAACTCTGGGCTCTACTAACTGGCCTGAGTGTGTTAATCTCAGAGCCCCACTGGGTTTATATTCCATCAAAATCAAACCATTTATTACGGATCTGAACCTCAGAGTTATTTGTGGACCAGTAGCAGAACTTTAAAGTCTGTTTTACAGCTGACTGGGAGTCAGAGTAAAGACATGAGAACTGGACTAGCTGTTTAATAAGGGAGCTCAGTCAAAAGGCGATAACAATAGTCTGGACTGATGGATATGACTGGAGCTTCCCTAAGTCGGACTGGGACATGGCACCTGTTACTACAGCTAGGCTTCTTAGCT